GGCTCCTGGCATCGCTACTAGGAGCGAGGACGCTACTAGGGGCTCCTCGCATCGCTACTAGGAGCAAGGACGCTACTAGGGGCTCCTGGCATCGCTACTAGGAGCAAGGACGCTACTGGGGGCTCGAGGGCACAGAGTGTGGTAGGCCATAAGAGTGGCTACTAGGAAAGCTCAGGCTTCTTCAAGGAAGCCTTCGCCTTCTTTATTTGGTTCCTAGAGTTTAGGATCATGTCAAATGAGTGCGAACAACTCTTCACACTTTCTTGCCCGTCAAGTTTGCACCCCATGTGGTTCGTGGTCAGAAGCAACGCCATTGTTTCTGACAAGCTAACCGCACAGCTTGGAGCCTAAGAATATATAAAAGGCGTCAAGTTGCCCAGAACAATACAATCAAAGCTCATGGGCGTCATCAATGAGTTGACGGTGTGCGCATGAACCGTGAGAACTGTGACATTGTAGCCACATGTCACATGTAGCAATTGTCAGTAACAATCAACTCTTTTCATATGTGCCAGCAAGGGGCCTTCCACTCGTCCGTGAATTCTGGCTTGGTGTAGATCATCTCCCATGTGTTCCTGCTTGGCACAAGGCTCACTTGGCTGCCACAAATTGAGAAGCACTAAGCACACATGAGTCCTAGTGTTGGGGATTACAAAAGGCATGGTGAAGTCATAGCCTTGGGTCCAAGAACGAACTATGCTCAAAAAGCTTGAAAAACACATGTCGTCTTGACCCACTATACAATGAAAAGGCCTCATTTGCTGACCTTGTGTCTACCAGCTGGGCAGCTTGTGATGAGTTGATCTCGGAAGTAGTGTCGCTCAATCATTCTAAAATTGTGTACTTCATAGTCACCTCAGAATTGACAATCAACATCGGCACTGATCGGACTGTTCAGGCAGGGAAACCATAGTGCAGCTGTGCTTCCGTTGGTGAACTCAAGAGTTGTACCAATGTTGTGGATGCCCAAAAACCTAAAATCTACCAAGATGCGAGGACCTAACTTACTTGCAGCTGCTTACAGAGCAGCATCAAGATCAAAAAACATCTCAAAAAGCAAAAGCTCATTGCCCAGCAGCTCGGGTCCGAAGTGGTAGCGGATGAAACGGCATGCATTCTGCAAGGATGTACTACAGTGTGCTTGTGGGCCCCATGCGAAACAAAAGCTGTCAGGTGACGGGCCTCACCAATGTCAGGTGGCGGTGGTGCGGGGAGGTCCCCTGCACCCAAATCAAAAAGGACCTTAGAAGCCAAAGGAGGTGCGTTTCATCCCCAACCATTCGGAGCCGCATCCTTTGATCTATGTGCAATCCGTAAAATGTGTCAAAAGCTGTCCTAGCGCAGAGGTCACCAAGGGCTAGGCGCGCTCTTGACCTTCGTCAAGGCACCTGATTTTGAAATTCACCTGCATCCACACAGAGTAGCACAAATATGCCAATGTTGTTTCCATGGTTAGCAGGGCTTGTTTCTATCCTTGCAGGCCACATGCATGTACACACATGCATGAGACCAAGACAGGCAGAGTCGCTGCTGCACATGTGATCTACATGGCAGCATGTTGACAATCAACACCCCTGGATGGCATGCACTCGAAATCCATGGGTGCCAGCACAAATCCAAGTAGCTTCAAAGCCAAGGTGCAAATTGAATGTTGTAGACGTTGTGTTCCCTCAAGCTCACGAAGGGCGAAAAATGCAAAAAATTGTATCGAATTCGGCACATGTTCACTAAAACTCCCAATGAAAAAGCGTCCATTTCGACTCCTTTTGACTCTTTTCAAAGGCAGATGTGCCCGAAGGAATTCAAGCGAGCTGGGCCCTTCCGCGGCCGGTCACTGCAACTAGCTTCTCGAATCCTACCATCTACTGTGCTCCCAGGCAAACTTGTTTTACCCCCCCCCAGCTTGATTAAGAAAAGAATTATGCTTCTTGCCAAGAAATGGATCTAGTGATGTGAGGCTGCCAAGGCGCAGCTCACAAAGAAAGCCATCTGTCGGAGAAGTCAGCATATTCACATAGTCCGGAGTAATCTCGTACATCTGTGGCCTGCTGCTTGAACACTAAGCATGCCAGCATGCCATCACGATGAAAAGCTAGTGCAACCTACAATCTAGGTTTCCTGCTCTTCAGATTGCAAGTGCGTGTCTTCTTGCCATTGTTCGTACTCAACCTTCAGCATTTTCCAGGCAGAAAGAGGTGGGATTCGTTTGGCGTTGTCAACATCCACCTTAACCACTCAGTCACTGCCAAGTGGCTGCGGCCATGCTCCTTGCCAAAATGTAAAACTTCAACTTCAACTGGAAGTTATCATTCAAAAGGGATACAACTGATACAACCCCTGACTCCAGTGCCTCTGCTTTCTTTTTCTTCAACTCACAGCTGCAGTGGATTCTGACAGATTCTCACAGGTGGAGTTTGAGCCGGCACTTTTGACTACACAGGTTCAACAATGAAAAACTCTAAAGTGGAAGGACTGCATGTGCCAAGCAACGCGGTAGCTTTTGTACCAAGCAGGGTTGGGTCCAATCCTGAAGAATGAAGTGAGACGATGTGTGGACACACCTTGACTGGCATCCATGAATCAGTTCTTTGTGACAGCTTCCCCCACGCTTAGCGTGGATTCAACCTGGGGGAATGATTTTGCAGGGGAACTTCAATTCCATGTGTGGTCTTGAAAAAAACTTGACATGCATTTATGTACGGCATATAATGTGACACTGCCAAAGCGCCGCACTTTTTGCCATTTCCGGAGCATAAAGAAAGCTTCATGAGGTGCATTTGACAGCATTCGATCGCATTCAGCAGCACTGCAGGCGCAGGGGCACGAATAGGATTTCTCCTAAGCTCGTTGCCTTCATGCCGAATATGGTACGAATTGGTGCAGGGAGGGCAGCATGCAATTTGCTCAGCCAAACGGATGCGGCGGGAGCACAAGCCTCGGGGTCAGGATTGGTCCGTGTGGTGGCACTGGTGGTGGCGTGAAGCCAGTTGCAGAGATGTGAGGGGCAGGACTCACGCCGCAGGCTTCCAGATCAGGCATGATCATACCTCACAGGAATGCTGCATGACCTTGATATCTTGAGATGTGGCATGGTCTATTAACAGAAAACAGTGCCAAACTGTCCACCACCAAACTCGTTTGAATCGGGCACCTGATGGCAAGGTCGGCTGCGAGCTTGGCAATGCCATCATTTGAGGATTTGCCATCGGGAGGCTCGCAGAATGTGTAGCCTGAAGAAGTTGAGCGGAGCCAGACTGCCCTGGATGTGCTGGAACTGGGGCCAAATAGGATGAACCTCTGACGTATGATGCAGGTTGGCATGACCCTGAGGCTGGAAGGGCTGTTGCTGAAAGAGGGCGGCGAAGACCGCGCTCTGAGTCACGATCTTGGCCCGGATGATCTTGCCTAGGGTGAAAAGATCACGTTGAATTGCAAAATTCAATCTCTTATATAATCAAACATGTTTTTGCAGCTGAGGTACCCTTGGCCACATTTGATACAATATTTGGAGCCAGCCTTGTTGAGAGCCCCGCAGCTGCCACAAATTTCATCAGAAATGCAAGGCCCTGCTGGCCCTGTTGGGGGAGTAGGCGAGCGCCCTGGTGTAGCACACAGTCGTGGTGGCAAGGCAGCTGAAAGGTAGAGGGGCCCCGAGTTGAAGGGCGAGTTGGGTGCAGGTGGTGCAGCTGGAATCACACCGCTTCCTGGCAATGAAATACCACTGTTTTTGAGATGCCGTTCCAAGGCATTAGCTCTCGACTCCTGTGCTTGCCCAAAGGTGATTGCTTCCCGGAGCTGCTTCGCTAGGACTTCCACCTCACCCTTGATACGTTGCTCGATCTGTAGGAGTCGGTCCTCGACACTCAGCTGATCTTCCACATCCCTCCCATCCCTCCTGGCCTTGCGTGGAGTAATTTGGGAGCTGCTATCCAGGGCCACCTCACAAGCTCGCAGCCTCTGCTCGAAAGAGTCCGTGACCGGCTCAAAGACCACAGACCGTCTGGGGCTTGCAGAGCGGCTTCGGCCATCTGACAGGCTGGACTTGCGTCGACCTGAGGACTCCCCGTGATCCCGATCACCTTCCACATCGCCCTGTGCACGCCCGTTCACACTTGCGCCACTTGCACCGAGCTTCAGGTGTCTCAAGGCCACTGGAACTGGCTGCTTCGCACCATCGAATAGAACTTCACAATTCAGTGCCTCTTTGTCCACTCGGATCACTCGACCCTGGTCACCTGCTGTGAAAGATGGAAAGTTCCGGCCGTTCAACACCACCACACGGCTGCCTGCTTCGATCCCATCGCCTGCCTTCGCCTCCGAGTTTTCAGGCCAGTTTCTTCGGGAGATGAGGACCATGGCTGCAACTTTGAAAAGTTCCCGCGTATATATATATATATAGTATATTTTTTATATATTCATACTATATATGTATGCTGTATACCTAAGTTGAATGGTGATAATGGTGATGACCCTCGAAGACATTCACATGCGTATGGGGCTTCCTCCTTGACCCTTTGTCATCTGTCTTTTGATCTGTCTACGCCGTGCACATGAGTCATATATGAGCCTTTTTTCTGCAAGCCACAGGCAAGGAGAAAGTGCATGGATTGGCGAGCTCAATAAACCACAAACTCGTTCCTTCGAGAACTAGTCCCGTCGAGCCTGATCACGCAAACACCGTACTGCAGTTCTGACAAGGAGCCGGAGCCAAGAGTATCCAAAACGCATACCTCATGCGTCATTTAGAAGGGACAGCTTGTCAAAACAACCCAACCAGCTTCATCTTCTGCAAGAAATTACTACGATGCTCTACATTGGCTTGCCCATACTCACAGCATAGGCACACTGCAACCAACAGCCATTCAGCCACACTCTCAATCGACAAACACCAGCCTTAGCTCTCTCTGATGACAAACAGGTCACAGAATCTGATCCAAAAGCGGGGACTTGTTCTCTCACTTGCTGGGCAAGGGGCGATATTTGTTATATTGCGCCATGACATCAAGCTGCATCCTTGCCAGGTGGTGCTGTGCGTGGCGGCCACTGCATGCAGCTTTAAAATATTTATGCCCAAGCAACTCTTCTGATTGTGGCTCCAAGTCGAAGGTTGCACCTCCGCAAATCCTCTCGCAGAAGTTGAATGTAAATAGCACCTGCTCGCACAACTCTAGCTCCCTTGAACTGCAAAGTGTGGAAAAAGCGGTGGAGCAGCCAAGTTTGACCAAGATACGCCATAGACAGTCATAGAGAACCACAAGAAAACCGCCTGGGCTTGCTGACTGTTGCAATCCAACTAACTACCTATATATATATATTACACAAAGATATGCAAAGTATATACCCAAATCTTGTAAATTTGGCCTGGCACAATCCCAAACGAATCTGGCCAACAACTAGTTCCGTGCATCTCAGTTGCCAGAATGGCTGGGCAAATGAACCTCGTGCGAGTGCCAACAGGCAAGAAAATCACCAGTATGCCTCGGCCAACAGGCAGGTGGTCTCGTCTAGAGTCTGGAAGGAAGAATGCCGCAAAAGTAGTCCAAGCTGCTGTACAGGAAGAGCATCCAAATGCTTGCCAAAAAGAATGCGTATGCCTTGTGGGTCAGGCTGCCCCACAGTACCAAGAGCAAAACTTGCATGAAATCCTGCTGGTAAGCAGCTGCAGTACGATGTGGCAGGCGTGAGAGGTATGTTGGTATCACTGCCACTCCGACCTAGGATGGCAAAGGCATATAATGCAGACGCACTCCCATGATTGAGCTTAACAGCAGCTAACAGTTGTGCCTAGATGCGAGACCCGCCATGGAAACAAAGCCAAGGGCGCGGATTACATGGGAGGCAAGTGTGGGCCAGTACCTAAGCAGAAAGGGGAGTTGCGGAAGCACTGTGAAACTCCATGCTCTTTCCGGACAAGCTTCTTCCCCTCAAACTGCCTCTCGAAATACCTGAACAACTAACAACCAAGATCTGCATTCCTTGAACGTCTCACGAAACACAGGAGAGACCGGCCTGGCAAGCATTTGAGCATAAAGACATGAGGATATTGCTGCAACAATCACCAGCTCTGTGAGCAGCTCGGGGACATTGTAGCCTCACTCATTGGGGACTGCGCACTGTCAAGGAGCGACGAAGAAATCAAATGGGCTAGCGGCTGCGATTCCCACCTCAGGAGTCACTCTAAACACCTTTTCAGAACTGGAGCTTCCCCCTACAAATGTTCATTACAAAAGAGTTTGATTCAAGAAAAAGGATGCACATTGTCCACAAAGTCAGGCAAGCACAAGAGTCCAACGCATGGGAGGGAAGGCTAGAAAATTGGCAAAACAGCTCTGACCATCTCGACTCTAGCCCAGACACAGGATCCGAGGTCACTGATGGGTATGATGAAATTGCGTGTTGAGTTGGCATAGCCTCGTCCAGTGAAAGCTGCACACGTTCCTTCTCATAGCTGCTGCCAAGGTGCTGCAAGTACCATCCTCCCTTTTGAACACCAGAAGACCTGCAAAGGCCAAAGGTCTCTTGACACATTTGCCCCGCAGGCAGCCCCGCCTGCTAAGCCTAATGGTAGGAAGGCAAAGCCGGCTGTCACCTGAGATGCAAAAGTGCCGCGAGCCACACTTGATTGCATCTGAACAAACCAGGCTGGAACTGGAATGATGAAGGGTCGCCAGTCAAAAGTCTCAAAGGCCTTGGAAGTAGTGAAGCATGTGCAAAATCCAGCTTCAAAAGTTGAGTCATGCTACTATGCACTCAAGTCTTTAATCGGGCAAGGGGCAAATTTTCGAAGCATATGGCAAAAACATAGAAGCGACCATGCGGCACCAAAGAAATAGATTGACAACACCGAATCAATCAGTGTCCGCATCTTGGGGCTGCTGTGGTTCATCCTAGAATGCGCAAAGTGAAGACCGTGACAATGTGACCATGTGCATGTAAGACATTTACGAGCTAACTGAAGTCTCTCTCAGTCTGATTGGAGGTGACCACATGACGTCTGAGACTGGCCTTGGCCCTCGCAACGCTCGAAAGCTGGCCGTCTCCACTTGTTCTGGCCTGCAGGAAAGTTGGACCGAGCCCCGAAAAAATATACAAAACACACAAAAGCAAAAGAAAGCAAAAGCATATGTTGTATATTGTCTATACATGACTCCTCTGAGACGTTGAATACGCCAAGATGGCCTCTAAGGACCTACAATTTGACTGCCTACATGGCATAGAAGACACCAGGAGAAAAAAGAAGAAAGCAATTTAAAGCAATCCCTCCAAACAGCTTGAGGTTCTCATGCCATTTCAGCGATGGACGTTCCAAACGCTGCCTAACGCTCATGCAGCCCTGGGCACCTCTCACCATATTCAATCTGTATGGCATCTCCAATGGTCGAGGGCGTGGCAATTCCCAGGAAGGGGTACCTCGGAACTCTCTCACCCATATTGTTTAAAGCATCTATCTCATGGAAGATCTTGACGCGCAATTATCACGCGTTTCCTGTATATAGGCTCTTGGCCGCGATTCCAGCGTCACCTCCTCAGCCACATTGACTCCATGATGATGATCCAAAAAATCTATGTCGCTGAAGAAACCTCAAGTTACCTCCCTCAGCTCGGCGATGTGGTTTCTGTGGCCTTGTGCCCCAAGCTCTACAAGTTTCATGCAAGGAGCAGCCCTCGATGCAGCAATGGTTGCAGTGATGGTGGTCCGAGAAGCTGCGAGCGCGGAGCCAAGAAGGCAGCCTTCAGGAATTGTTCAACACGATTGTTGCGTTTCAGGCCATACTTACACCAGTGCCTCTTCAAAATATATTCTCTGCTGCAGGGGCTCACTCACACATACACCCATCGCTCAAAACAAGTCCAACAGCTCAGCAAACACCAACCAATGACGAATGCGGCCAAGAAACCAGCAATAACGGGCTTCACTGGCTGCATGAAACCTCAGTTGAGGCTCGATTGGTTTTATGATCACTTCTGAGCAAGCTTTGTCTTCCCAAAGCGTACTGACACTGCCAGGGAGCATATAGGTGGTTCAGTATGCGGACAGGGTTAACTGCATGATGAACCGGCTGAAAGTTCCAGACGGCTGCGGAGCGAAAGCGTCTTTACCAGGGCCACCCTGAAGACCAGAGCACTTTCCGTGGGAATGAGGGAAAGGAGTGGGTGAGCGAGCGAGCGAGCGCGAGAGAGAGAGAGAGAGAGCGAGAGAGCAAGAGAGAGCGAGAGCGAGAGCATCACACACCCCACCACCATGTCATGCTGGTAGTAGTCAACATTCACAGCAATGATGTCTGCTACAGGTAACGGGCACATATGTTTTCGTTTTTTTTTCACAGCTGTGAGACAGGCAAGTAGCACTAATCGGCTCGAAGGCAAACACCTACACACTCACCAGCGACATGCATCCAATTGAGAGGCTAAATGATTTCCATCTTAGCAACATCATAGTTTACAATGCCGAAACACAATGCTCCTGCAGGAGACGCTTGTCATCGCTTATCCGGAGGGGCCGAGGATCTTCTGCTCGCCTCCTTCTTGGGCAAGCGTTTCTGGGGTTTCGCCTGCCTGGCATTCAGCAAGTGAAAATCATCAAATGAGGAACAAGATTGAAGACATGGAGCGCGCTGCAAGCGACTATCTTTTAACCTGACTTGCTTTGAGCAGGAATCAAGGCTTGGAACAAGTCCATGGAGCGCATTCAGCATTCCAGTGTGATAAGGTAGAAGCTGGGTCGGTCGGCCGGACTTTTAGATCACTGAAACCTGCGGGAAGAAATTGGAGGAGCGCCGAGGAAATCTCTTCTTGCCAACCTCCCATCGCAAGCGCAACAAAGTTTCTGCCATGCAGCTGTGCAGCACAGGCGGTTTATCTTGCTGCTCTACCGCACCATTGTCTGGATCCTTTGCTGCATTTGCCTCCTCGATTGCTTCCGCTTCCTCCTTAGAGTCTTCTCTACACTCCCGGCCTTGGAGGGCTTCGCTACCATCGTTCCCTCCTGTTGCAAGAGCCGCCTTATCTCCTGAGACAACACGCACTCCCACCGAACCAAACTGAGGAACATTGATTGGAGCACCTCGAAGTTTGCCTTTCCGATTTCGCTTCACAAATTCAATTTCCTCTTTGTAAAGCCGATCGAGCTTTTCATTCACCATGTCTTGAAATCGCTCAATGCGTTTCTTCCGGTAGTCTTCTAAACGCTCCCACCTCAATTTGCCATCAACAGCGTTGTCCATATCCTCAGCTAGTCTCTTTTGACTCTGTAGTAAGAGTTCCTGGTCCAAGGCGATTCTCTTTTGGTCTCGAACCTGCTCAGCAAGCAGTTCCTCCTTAGCCACCCCAGGAACACGCAAATTTGTCAGCTTGTCCTGCCCTTCAGCAAGCGCCTGAGTGTCCTTTGCAAGTTGCATTTGGTCCTGCGCCACCTGAACCTGAGCTTTAGCAATCCTTTGACGCCTCCACTGGTCTTGGGTAGTTGCAACAGCCACCGGGATTTCGTCCTCAGGTTGAATAGGCTTGAAGTAGGGTGGGGCAACTATACGACTCTGCGCAAAATATTCATGGTTGTCTGCGCTCCCTTTGACTTCACTGGTTCTACTTTCTGCCACTTCATTTTCTTCTGAGTCTTCATCGCGTTTGGCAGACTCATCCTCTGCATTGGCTCCTTCTGTTCGCATCTTCTTTGAATCATGTTCCAGCTCTTCTACATCTTGTTTGTCTTGTTCGGCCAGCTCTTCCTCTTGCGGCTTCTCCTTCCAAGCATCTGGCTTCTTGGCCCGCTTCTCCACGTCCATTTGCTGCAACTTGTCCATACTCTGTGGTTCATCACTGAAGATCTTCTCGTCTTTCAGGTCTTTTCGTGGAGGGCCTCCAAGCATCTTGCCAGGATCAATCATGTCCATTCCCGAGCTGTTGCCGAAACTCGTCGTGAAGGTCAAGTTCCCATGTGCTTGGTGCCACGTGCACGTGCCTGCGCCCAAAGTTAGTGGGCTCCCGTGAACCAGCGAAAGACGAACGGACATGGCCTCATCACATGCCTATGAAGCTGTCCAAAAAAGAGCTACCCGTGGTAGACTGCCATACGCGTCTTTTTTGCTCCGTGTGCGCATGTTTGTTTGTGCAAATGTTCGTGCAGGTTTGGCAACCTGGACTGGCACCTGAATGCTGCGGATTAATCCATACTTCAAAGAACTGCCGCGGCCACTGCGTGCTTGTCTGAGATTGGTACTTGGCACGCTGAGAAGATGTGCTCTGTCAGAAAAACAAACCCCCGAAACACAGGCTGCCTCATTGGCGAGGTTCACACTGGCACCTACGCCGACGCCAAGGCGACTAGTGACTACAGTAGTCAGGTTCGACTTTGGGGTCCAAACCTTTGGCAACCAGCAGCTGTGCAACCATCTCATTTTCAGACATCACCTGGGCAAATTTCATCCAACCATGCTGCATCATGCTGCTTTTGAAAATGGCACTAGAACCCAATGAGCAGGAGGCCGAATAATGTAACCTTAGCTTCGCAAAACTTCAATAATTGTTGCAACTTACACAAATGCTAGGAGAGGCCCTTGCGCAGTATCCCCGGCAGCATCAGGTGCACTTATCATTGCCCTGGCCTCTGGGATCTCCTTAGCTAAAGGTAAAGAATTTCTATACTGAGGAAGGTGAGCGAGTTCATTCTTTGACCCGGAAACTGCCATGGCCAACTGCTCATGAGGACCCTGTGGGCCGTGCCAGCAAGAACTGCACCTGAGGCATTCAAACGGGAAAGTGCCTCCGTCATAGTTCAACTGGAAATCGCAACTGACGATTCATCCTTCACACTGGCTGAACCCAGCACCATGTCTAGGTCTCCTCTGTCAGCAGCCCAATGGAGAGGCAACATTCCGTCCTTGTCAGCCTCTGAATGATGTAAAGTGGCCCCTCTAAACACAGCAACTTTGTTTGCCTGCGCTGCTAGGTGTGGGCTGGCACGAAGCAAGCTAGATGCAGCCTCACTCAAGGCACATGCTTGATCTGACAAGAGTTATCAAAAACAGTGACCCACTGCTGGCCTCAAAATCACCATCTGCAATCTTTTGGCACAGCTGCCCAGCTGGAGTTTCATCCTGGTTGGATTCCAGGACGGTGGTCACAGTTAGAGGGTGCCTGAGAAGCCAACTACATCTGCATCATCGCCACCTTTGCAGGCTGAAAGGCAGGCTGCCCGAGTTTAAGTTCTTTGCGGCGCATCATCCATATAAGGGAGCCAAGCAACACCGGTCTGGTGCAATCAGACAAAGGCATCATGTTTTGCAAGAACCTAGCCTACTACGCAAGCAAAACCATTCCTTTGCGAACTCATTCTTAAAATTAACCGTTGCAGTATATAAGTACGCAGTGTGCACAAGATGCTTGCAGCTTGTGCAGCAGGAATGAGCCGTAATGTTGGGTTGTGGAAGGGGAGGAGCTATACAAGTACCACCGAGGTGACTACTGCAGGCATGCCAAGAGGACGGGAGCGCAAATGAGTTGAGTGAAGTGGTTGGCAAACAAATGCAGCTTAGAGCATTCTAGGGCTGCTTCCCGTGTGTGCAAACACACGCACACACAGACACACAAATACATTTACATAACAAACAAACATACATACATACATACATGCATACATGCATACATACATGGCTCAAGCCACTAGTGCTCAAGCGGGCACCCCTTGAAGACCCGCTAGTGCACAAGGCCCCACTCGAACATAGCCTCGAGTACCAGGCCACAGCGAGCAGGAACAAGTTCCTTTACAACACATTCTTTGCCCGTTATCTCGACTTGATCTTCCCCGCTCTTGAGTCGATCGACGCAACCTGGCAGTGCTCGCTTGGCTTCATCGTGGCCATCCAGTTGGGGACTGGTGCTAAACCTCACAGGTACTCACTGGCCAGACCGTGTTCGGTGCGCTGAACCTTGCCCTCAACCAAGACACCTTCCTGGACCCTGAGGAAACCCTCATCCTGAACTATGACAACACAATGAGGAAGGGCCTACATGGTGTGCAAGCACACCTCCTGCTCAAATTGGATCTACACCGACAAGCTCAGACCAGGCACAAAATGCAGGAGATGTGGAACCTGGTGGCCAACCTCTAGCCCTAAACCCTAAACCCTAAAGGACTACCGGAAAAGGCAAAGGATATGGCAAACCAGCCAACAAAGCAAAGGCAGGAAGCCGCACCTGGCCTGACCCACCGCCAGGATTGAGCAAGCTGAAGCCACTAAAGCGCACAAAGGTGCAGCAGGAGGCCACCAAATTGCTATCCACAGGCCTCTCTGAGGACACCCAAGTCAAGTTGCAGGCCATAGGCATTGGGCCGACAAAGCCTGAAGAGCCCCAACTGCAAGAGGTGTTGAAGTCCCACATGCAGTCGTTACCTCCACAGGTGCAGGATCTTGTCGCTAAGCTCACAACTCCTGAGCCCTGCACTGAACGAGAGATTGCCGCCAAACTCAAAGGCCAAGTCAGTGAGCTGAAGAACATGTCCATCAAGAAGACACAGTTGCAGAACAAGATTGACCAGGTCAAATCCCAGTATGCTGCTCTCCTCAGTGACATGCAAGAACTTCAGAGCAAGCTGGCTGATGGTCAAACGACCTTGAAGAATCTTTCGGAGGACTACATGAAAGCGCTCAACCAAACTCCAGCTCCAGGGGACCTCACCGAGCCAAAGGGTGAAGGTGAGCAAATTCCAATGGCAGTTGAACGGAGGAACAAAAGACCCAGCTCCATAGCCTTTTGAAGAGGCCCAATCAGGATCCAGATTCCACCACCAGGACACTGTGGGTAACAACTCAGCCAGCGCTATTTTTCAGGGGTGGACCATTCCAATACCGGAAGATGACCTCTTGTCATGTGAACGTTCTGAAGGTCCAAACATGGGGACAAAGTTGGATGCTACACATTTTGCTGAAGCAGCATTTGAGCCTGCAGATCCACAACATCCACTATGGGTTTCAGGCTCAGCATCAGGCTCAGCAGCAGCACAGGGGCAAGCAAATGTAACATGTGAAGGGGACAAGTCACATGCTACTGCGCCACACCAAGCTTTTGGGCAGCTCCACACCATTCTTGACGGGGATATGGCAAACCATGGTGCAGGAGACTTTTTGCAACATGCTACAGTTGGACATCGATGCGCGCCCCAACCTGTGTCGGGCGCAACTGACGTAGATCGACGGGCGGTTCATGGAAACGATTTTGTGCACATACGTGGTGGTGCAAGCTCAAGTACCATAAGCCTCACGCCTCCAACTGAGAGGACGCAACCAATGAAGGATTATGCTACTTCGACGGATTGCATACTCCAAAACCTCACTATGCCAGTGGGCAATCCTAGTGCAAGGTGCTATGCAAATGCACCCTGGCGGGCGTTCACCTGGGTTTGTGCCCTCCTTCAAGAGACCAGCACGCAGCCCTGGGGAACTTTGCAGGATGCAGTTCAAGAGTCTTTAGAGACTGCAGAAGTTGTTAACATCGTGCATCTGCCAGGTCTCAAGGAGCTTTGGAAGCAACATGATTTGAATGTCCAGGGTGATGCCAGCCACTTCGTGAACTCATTGTGGCTACTTTCCCAATCCAGAGCATTTCACTACAGTCACTACAGATTTGCTGAAATCAAGGAGGGTGGATACCTCACAGACCATGCGCAGCAACCCATCCTGATACCCTACCCTGACGACTGGCCAGAGGATGTCACCTTTCAACAGCTGGTCAACAATTGGGCCAATCAAGGACTGGGACAATATTTGATGGACGACAAGAGGGTGTTGATTTGTCATGTCACACGCAACACCTGCATCGATGGCATCATGACCCAGCACAGCAAACCCTTCAATCCCTACGGCACTTTCACCATGCCTCGATCTTTGGATGGTTTTGCACGAACCTCAACCGAGTTTGTTCCTGCTGTCCTGATATGCCACAGAGGACACACTGACCAAGCAGGTCACTACTTCGCCATCCTGATCTACAGGGACTTGATGTGGCTAGCTGATGATGGCAAAGTGCCTGTGCACCTACCACATTTGACCCCAAAGCTGGCAAGTCAAATCACTCAAGTATGGGCAGTCAGTTTGGACACTTTCAAGACCCCGCAGCAAGTCCTTCAAGGATTACCTGACCCGACGCATCTCGACCAGCAGCGGTTCGAACCAGATTCCAACATCATTTGTGGTGAACTTGGAGTCATGCTTGCAGGAAATTCCAACAGCCAATGCCGAAGCTCAGGATTTCGTTGAGGAAACATGTTTGACCGTTTTTGCAACGCCAAATCAGCATTTTCGAGACCAGTTGAAAACAAAACTGCGGCAGTTGTTTGAACTAAGGAAGGTAGTCAGCCGAGCCACTCAGTGATCGCACCAAGACAAGGCCGTATGAATCCCGTGAGCCTGTCACCGAATGGTCAGCCGCCGACACACAGGCCATTTGTTGAGCGCTTTTCACACATCCAGCTCAATGGATGGGTTGATGACATAGGCTGTAACAGGCCCTGGATGAAGACCACCTCCAAGTCTATGCACAGGCTGTGGAGAGGATCTGTGCCATGTACAAAGATCCATCGCACTACATCCACGACAAGCCAACCGGTCACAAGCCACCAACACCAAGCAATACAAGAAGAGGCTTGTCAACAAGTGCACAGACCCGCCCACTGAAGGCGGCCATGCCTGGACAAAACACCGCAGCGGCTACCAATGTGCCTTGTGCAGCACTCGAGTACACCAAGGGATGACAGCTTTGACCCTGGAACAGCGCCTGACAGAACCCTGCGAGGCCAAAATCACCATTGGCCAGGCTGACACTACCACAGACCATCTGGAAGAGAAGATCACCAAGAAAACCACACGGGTTCAGCTCATTCAGGAAATTATCCAAAACCAACCGGCCACCCGACCTGCCGGAGCACCACTTCATCAAGACCACCGGATACCTCAAGTGTCAACATTGTGGCAGCGCCATCCTCAAGAGGTCTAAGGAGCCAACCTTTTCGGACTTCATTGCCAGCCCTTGCATTGACCAGGCCTACACAGGTGAGACCATCGGCCATCACACACACCTTCTGTGGCAGCTGGGCACGAAAGTCACGTGCAAACACTGCGGCCTGGCAGTCCTGACGGACAAGGACAATCGTCTGATTGCCACTCAGGCATTGAAGAAGGAATGCAAGGGAGCGCCAGTCAAGCAGAGCCCAGGACTGAGGACTTTCTTTCCCACTCAACTGTCCAGCAGACCAACACGAGAAGGCACCACAGGCACACCCAGCCCCAGTCGCCAGCACCGACATCCTGGCCAGAGCCCTTTTCCCGCCCGAGGCGGAAGAACCACTCTCAATGCCGATGTCGATATGATGCCAACCCAGCCTGATGAGGCCAAGCACATCGACCACAGCCCAACTCCGGAACCGGCAGCAAGGGAGATGCCTGATGGCAGTCCTGCCACAGAGGAGGATGACCTGATGATGGTCGACTACTTCTAGCCCTACCTCCACCTGGAGCGGCTGGCGTGGCCGTCGCGAGCCGGGTCAAAACGACCCGTCGTTCAACAGACACAAAAGAGCCACTCTAGAGGAAAAAATGCATTACATACATTACATACATATATTACATACATTAAATATATTACATACATTGCATAACATAACATAACATAACATAACAGCACAGCACAGCACAGCACAGCACATACATACATACATACATATATACATACATTACATACATTACATACATTACATACATTACATACATTACATACATTACATACATTACATACATTACATACATTACATACATACATACATACATACATACATACATACATACATACATAC